GAGATCATAGCACAAATTAACAGGCTAAAACTGTATATACTATACATTTTACTTATTTGTTTGTTGTCTGTTTCTCTTCTCTGGAATGTAAGCTCTATGAGGGCAGGGATTTCATATGTTTTATTCACTGATGTATCCCTAGAGCTTCAAACAGTGCCACCTGAACACATAAGATGCTCAATGAATATTTGTTAGGTGACTGAGTGAATCAACAAATGAGTGAATGGGAACACTGCACACACTGGATTCCCTTCCTGATGAATCAGAGCATAATGCCATACTAAAGACTTTCAACAGTCCTGCAGAGGAAACCAAATTTTTGTTTGTATTTTTTAAAATGTTTTTTAGCCGAAACCGGTTTGGCTCAGTGGATAGAGCGTCGGCCTGCGGATTGAAGGGTCCCGGGTTCGATTCCGGTCAAGGGCATGTACCTTGGTTGCGTGCACATCCCCATGTGCAGGAGGCAGCTGATCGATGATTCTCTCTCATCGATGTTTCTGGCTCTCTATCCCTCTCTCTTCCTCTCTGTGAAAAATCAATAAAATATATATTTTTTAAAATGTTTTTTAATTAATTAATTACTACTACTCCTACTACTACTATTATTATTATTACTATTATTTATTTTTTATTTTTTTTGAAAGAGAGAGGAAGGAAAGGGTAGATAGGTAGAAACATTCATGAGAGAAAAACATAATCAATTGGCTGTCTTCCACTCACTCCTTATTTGGGATCAAGTCCACAGCCTGGGCATGTGCCCTGACTGGGAATCAAACCAGCGATCTCTTGGTTCATGGTTGGACACTCAACTACTGAGCCACACCAGCTGGGCTGTATTGTTTTTTAATGTATTCCCAACGTTTAGAACATTGTCTGCCACAGAGAAAGTGCTCAATGAGTTTAATGAGTAATTATTATTACTAAGACCTCTTTAATCTCTTTCTTTTTTGGAGATATAAACCTACACAAGAGGAACTTGACCAATTACTTTAAGAGAAGATATTATTTGTGTTGATATTAGACATCTTTGCCTTGTCTAAAAAGTGTCCCCTTCCCCCCATCCTTTACGTAGATATTACTTTAAAAAAAAAAATACACAAGAACTTGCAAAGCTTAACTATATCAGGTCTTGTCTTCCTAAATAGACTGTAATTTCTTGGAAGGCAGAGTGTTTCTTCTTTACTTCTTTGGGGGTAAATTTTTGACATTATGCTACTTAACACATATTATTTATCTGGTTCCTCCACCAAACTTGTGAGTTTGCACCATGACTGGATAACAGTGGGTACCTAACAAGTTTTCACTGAGACAGGGACCCAAGAGAGGCAGAAGGTGTGGTCAGGTGTTCTCATCTCCCACATGGAAGCAATCCATTGGGGATAAAGAGTCCGTTGTATTAGGAACCATGTGTTTCTTCTTAAAGAATCCTTTGACTCTACATATACAATTTATGAGGTCCTCACCCCCTACTGAGTTTGTATTGTTAAGACTCATGAGAAATAGCCTAGGAAATAAGTATTATGACTATTGTAGCAATGTTTATTTTAATTAAAACCTATTCAGGAAACACTTCTTGAGTACCTTCTGTGAGCCAGGCACTGAACTAGGTACCAGTAAAGATGTGGGAGATGATGCAGAAAGAAATAACACATGTATGGTCCCAGTCCTCAGGGGACAAATGATCCAGCAGGTCCTAGATAATAGAGACAAGTATGTGCACAATATATATATAATAGTAATTATTTACATTAAGATGTAACTAGCTTAGCCGGCATGGCTCAGTGGTTGAGCATCAGTCAATGAATCAGGGGGTTTCGGGTTCGGTCCCAGGTGTGGGACTTGCGGGAGGCACCTGATCAATAGTTCTCTCTCGTCATTGATGTTTCTATCTCTCTCTTCCTCCCTTTTTTAAAAAAAATATATTTTATTGATTTTTCACAGAGAGGAAGAGAGAGGGATAGAGAGCTAGAAACGTCGATGAGAGAGAAACATCGACCAGCTGCCTCTCACCCCCCTCCCCCACCGGGGACGTGCCCGCAACCAAGGTAGATGCCCTTGACTGGAATCGAATCCGGGACCCTTCAGTCCACAGACTAACGCTCTACCACTGAGCCAAACCAGTTTGGGCTCTCTCTTCCTCCCTTTAAAAAATAAATAAATAAATAAATACTTAAAAAGATGTAACTATATATCAGGCACTATTTTAAAAGCTTTATCTACAAGATCTATCTCTTTAAAAATTGATTTTTAAAGAGAGAGGAAGGGAGAGGGATAGAGATAAGCTGCCTCGATGCTCAACCACTGAACCACATCTGCTGGGCTACACAATCTATCTTCATCCTTATAATAATTCTGAGAGTAAAATATTTTCATTATCCCCATCGGACAGAGGAGGAAATGGAGGCATACAAAAGTTAAGGAACTTACTCCGTGTTACAGAGCTGTAAATAGTAAAGCTTATCACTGAACATGGGCAAGATGACTTCAATGCCTGTGCTCCTATGAAAAGTGCTAATAATTAGGTAAATAACTTGAAAACAGGATTCATTTTTTATGCTCTAGTTTACTTGGAATCAGAAAATATCACCTCTTTTCTCATTCTCATGGCCATGTTCAGTTATACCCATTTTTCTCGAGGGGAGCTTGAAATACCTGTACTGCCCTCATAGGATCATGCATTGATGGAAATGCCCTTTTTAGCATTCAAGAAAAACCCTACATTCGTCTCAAGTCTATCAGGATCACAGGGGGGATGAGAAGAATCAGGCTTTCTGGGAAGGACTTGGAGGTGGAGACTCAAGAAGGCATTCTCAAAGCTGGGAGCCCACAGAGCGAGGCTTGATTCAGCACCGCGGACAGCGCCCCCGGAGTCCTCAGGACCCTGGACAGAGACACTGGTGTTGACTGCGGAGAGGACTCTCACGTGAGAGCGGATCTACGGAAACCAGAACATTAAATCCCTACTCTCAGAGTCTCTTTTCTTCAGCCACTCTTCAGTTAACCGAACTCAATCACTCCTGAATATTAGGAACAGAGGTACAGAGAGTGAACATATTTTTTAAGGGCGCTAGTAACCAGAGCAGATAAGACTGTTAGGTGGGGAGGAGTAGGAAAATAAAAAATAAAAAGACTTAGGCTGATGTTCTCAGAAAACTCTTGCAAGATTAAATTAGGGTTCTCAGCTGAGAGCGGGGGTTGCTATGATATTTGTTAATGGTATGTATTTTTTAGGTTGAATAGCAAAGGGTTGTCCTTTTTATCACTCAAAATCCTCCCTCCATCTCTTACACTCAAGTTTTAGTCTCTTGGGCAGCACCCCATGTAGGAAAGAGAAATAATCTGTCCGCAGTCCCTTGCTCCCTTCACCACCTACCCCTTCCCTACCACCACTCATCTCCTTTCTCTTCCCCAAACGCAGACGTGAGCGCGGGCACAAGGGCGCAGGGCGAGAAGCAGTTGGGTTTTTTGCACTCAGAGCAAGCAGAAGCCCCCGAAAGCAGGCTCTGTCCCTTTAAATGGGCTACAGCAGTGGGGGAGGGGAACTGGCCGGAGCAGGCATTGTCCAGTTTGAACTGAGCACCGGAAGTGAAGGGGCAGGGCTAGGGCCGTGCACTGAGCCCCGGGCCATTGTCCATCTCCGACCAGGGCACTAGCCACCCCCTGGCCAGCCCCCTTCCTCTCCTACAAGGGGAGGCTGCTTCTTAAAACAAGGGGAGCCCCAACTCTATAGTTTTCCCCCCAACCCCACTGTGGGGCGGGAGCACGCTTTAGGATTTAGGGGCTGAAACGCCGGGTAGTCTGGGAAACCCAAGAGTGTCCGGAGGCTGGAGGAAACGCCTGGACCCGCCTGCCCACCTAGTTCCTCTCCCGGCAGCTGCTAGGGAGAGGATGGGGACGGGGCAGCCCGTGCCGCTGGTGGAGAGAGGCACACTGCAAGCCTCTGGGGGTTCCTCCTGCTCTGTCAGAAAGCTCCACGTGGGGTCAACTTTGGACGCAGATTGGGAAGGAGAGAAGGGGGGATTCTTTACACAGAATCAGTTAGGGGCGCTCTGAGACGCTCAGGAAAACTCAGGCGGTAACTCAGGGAAGCGGACCCTCAGAGACAACAGACTTTGAGAGGCAGCAGCGCCTTGGTCTGGACTGGAGATCAGTCCTTTGGGGTCTCCAGTCCCCCCCACCCCCCCACCCCCCGCTTCCCTATCCCAGGCTTCCTGGTTTAGTGAACTCCAGGTCTATGGAAGCACACGGGGGCGGGGGGTGAGAGCGGGTCAGCGCCGAGCGGCCGGGTCAGCGCCGAGGCCCGGAGGGGAAGGGAGGGGGAGGGGCGCGGGAGGGCTGGGGGAGGGGGAGGGCTCATCCATTTCTCCCTTGACAGGTGGTTTGTGTCTCTGATTGGCCAGCGCTGCCGGGCGCACACCTCCCTCCCCCAACTCTCTGGAATGTATAATTATCTGCGCGGGGGGCGGGGGTGGTGGGTGAGTGTGTGTGGGGAGCAGTCACGTGGTTTTAAAACTACACTCCCACCCCCCACCCCCCACATACAGTAGTACCCTCACCTGTATGCTGCTTTGGGGACCTCCCTCCCCCCCACTCCCAATGAGTCCTCAAAGTGAAGAATTTCAAATTCCGAGTACTCAATACTTGTAGGGCGGGCGGCCCCTCTTTCCAGATGTGTGTGGGGAGGGGGTGTCAGACCTCCAGGTTCTGGGAAGGGACACCCCAGAGGTGTCAGGGGACGCAGGGTGGGGGAGGGCCGGAGCCGGAGTGGAGGGAGCGGGAGGGGGGAGACGAGGGAGGAGAGGGGAGGGGGCTGCCCGCGGGGGGTTGGGTCATTGTCTTTTAGAATTTGGGAGCCTTTGAAAGGCCGTGGGCCCTCCCACCGCTATTGTGCTGGGGAAGATGTAGCAGCCTCTCCTCGGAGCCACCCCTTTGCCTCCGGACTTCTCCTGGGCCAGCAGCCGCCCGACCTGGGGCCCGGGCCGCGGGCCTCGCCGACTACCATGGGCTCCGTGTCCAACCAGCAGTTTGCAGGTTCGAGCTTGGCGCTTCCTGGGGACACCCTAGGCTGCAGGGGCGCCCAACAAGCCACCGAAAAGGGAGGTGGGAAGGTGTCCTCCGGGCTGGCCGGAGGACCCCAAGTCTGCCTTTCAGGGGGCCATGCCTGGAGCAGGGGACGCTGGTGCCCGCGCGGCGTGCACGCCGAGGCTGCGGGGGCAGAGGGAGAGGAGAGGAGGGGCCTGCCCGGCGGTCTGTCCCGGGCAACGTGTTGTGGGAAAAAGAGCAAAACTTTCGGGGCCCCTGTGGCCTCTGTGAGCTCGGGGAGCGCGGGAGGCAGCCGGGACAGGTCTCGGACCGCCGGCCGCTTACTTATTAGCTGCAGCCTCCGGGGGTGCACCCGCGGGCCGGACGGTCGGGTGTCCCGGCCGGAACTCTGAGGGGGTCCCCGAGCCCGCGGCCCCCAGCTGAGCGCCCCCCGTCCCCCCGTTCCCAGGTGGCTGCGCCAAGGCGCCGGAGGAGGCGCGGGAGGACGCGGCGCGGCCGGCGGAGGAGCCGCAGCTGCTTCACGGCGCCGGCGTCTGCAAGTGGTTCAACGTGCGCATGGGCTTCGGCTTCCTGTCCATGACCGCCCGCGCGGGGGTCGCGCTCGACCCGCCCGTGGACGTCTTTGTGCACCAGGTGAGGCCGATCCCGGGAACTTGGGCGGGAAGGGGGCACTGGCGCGCACAATCCGGGGTGGGCGGCCACGCGGGGCCGCGGGATTGGGGGAAATCCGGGGCCCTCATTGTGCGCCCCCGTCTGCGCGGGGGTGCCCCTGGCCGGAGCCCCGGTCACCCCTCCGGGACGGGAGCGAGGGGCAGAGCCCAGGATCAGCACCTCCCACCCCCTTCCGGGAACCCTTCTGCCTCACCACGTGTTGGTTACCTCTCTCCCCCGGGAAGGAGGCAGGGGCAGGGAGGTGACCCCATGTGGCAGGAACTAAGGTTGTATTGTGCTGGCCGGTGGGGGGAGGGCGGGCAGGCCGGCCAGGGAAGCACATGCCCGGCCCTAGCGGGGCCCTCGGCGCCAGCGCGTTTCCCTAACTTGTGAGCGGAGCTCCCCCGGAGAGAGGGAGGGGAACGTCTCTGGGCCCCAAGGAGGATAAAGCTACGAAGTCAGTCCGATCTCCTCCCTGCGGCCGGAGTGGATTTGTCAGATCCTGAAAAGGGTCTATTTGGGGGGCTTGAAAGCTTTTCCCAACGACCGGCCTCAGGCATACCGTTTACCAACAGGGCTTCTTGCTGTCCAGATCCTACCAGAGAGAGGATCCTAAGGAGCCCGGCCTTAGGTTCCTGGGCCAGGCTGGGAGGGAGTTAGGTCGCAACCCCAAGTTCTCCGTTAAAGCGCAGCAGCGCGGTGGGGGGTGAAATTCTGGGTCGCAGGGCATGGGGTCGAGGGGGGCTAGCCCCTGGACCTATTCTCCACTTGTCATTTATGGCCCTGGACAGCCATTCATGCTGTCCGAGCATTTCCAGCCTCAAACAAGGAGCCCGGGACCTCAGGATTCGTCCTTCCTGGTTCCGGGCCTCCCTCTCACCTCTTCCCAAAGGTCTCCGCACCCTTCCGTTGGTCCTGGGACACCAGCTACCCATAACACGGAAAGGAAGTTGCTGCCTGCGCCCCTTTCCCTTTTGTTGGAGGTTTGGGGTTGGGCTGAGAAAAAGAAATTGCTAATCCCAGGGTAGGGTGGCACCCAGGCCGGGCAGGGAGGGGTTACTTCTGGAAGGTTGGCTCTAGGAGCCATGGGGGAGGGGAGGGAGGGGAGGATGTGGGGATTAAGGGTTGGAGCCTGAGGGATGGTATTCTGGAGGGGGAGGGGTGGGGAAGGGAGATGCTGGGTGGACTGGTTGGAAGTCCTCATGGAGGATGTAGAGTGAGGGGAACAAGGGGGATGGAGGATGCAAGATGGGGACCTGCCCGTTCATGCTGGTGACTTGGGGTCACTGGACTCCTTGAACATCTGCAAAGGACGCTTACCTACCCCCTTACAGCACGTTCTTACCCCTCACCCCCCGCCAGACAACTAGTTCTAGCTGGGGACATCGCCATCTTTCCTGTCTCATTTACATATGTGTTTGATAACCACAGGAAGTAACTGTGGGAGAAAGAAGGGAATTGGCCTCTTTAGAGATCTATTCAATCACTTTATTACAGGAACCAGCTTTGAATGGCCCTCCTCGGCAGGGTGCCAGCCCCCCCACGGCCATCTATCTCATCACAAAGAGATTATAATCCCTCCAGGTCTGGAGATGGACTAGACGGCTTCCCCAATTTTGGGAGTCCTGGGAGTAAGAGTCAGAACCAACCTTTTCCTGCTTTCATGCCTGAGGCTGCCAAACAGGGAGGGGCTTAGGGGAATGTGACCCCAACCAGAAACTTTCCTCCACCCCAGGGCTCTTTTGGCTGGTCTAATCCAGTAGACATTTGACAAATGACTAACTCCAAATAACTACTGAATTTAATATGTATGTATGGGAACCCCGAATCTAGGAGACTCAGAGACCCCCACATGCACAGAGATTTAAAAATATAAAGGGAACTTGGGTAAGACATTCTGAGCTAGGGATAGGATAAGGTGCCCTGGGGGCTTCAAAGGGTTACTGCAGTACAATAAAAGCAGATGTTCAGTAAATAGGAGTTTGTCCAGCTCTGTAGGTCACCTCTGATACACTCTTACTATGGGCTAGGGCCCCAATTCAAGTTCTTATAGGTAGGGGCTGAAGTTTCTCTTGAGCCTATAGCTTCATCTTGAAAACAACCCACTTCCCCCAGAAGCACATCTTGGTGTGGCTAGTTCTGAACTCCCACAGTGATCAAGCCCAAAGCCCAGCCCCGGGGGAGATTTTCCTGAGCAAATGGATCTGTACCTCCAGGCTCTTACCCCGAGGATCTAAAGCAACTGGGAATGTTGGATTGAGGAAAGCAGGAACCTTCAGTTTGGGGAGTGGAGCCCACACACGCCATCTGGTTCAGATGTGTTATCCAGGAGATGACCTGGACTTCAGTTTTGGAAGGACATTCCACAGGTGAACCAGTTATCTGGAGGGAGTTGAGCTAGGATAAGGAATCAAGAATTTATGAGCCACAGTCACGGGACAGTGACGGAGCCTTACTTGCTGGGTCTTGATAGCACACTGCCTGGGCTTGAATTAACCCTGAAACCCTAGCGTAGCAGTAAGTTAGACTAGTGATTTCAGTCCCTGCGCTTGAGAAATTGGAATTATTCTTGTGGAAATCTAGTTCAGAGGAATTAAGTAGTTGTAGGCTGATCCCTAAATATTGCCATGGGGGAGGAAAGTGTTCCCAAAGTGGGGGGAAGGGTAAGACATTTCTCTTTAAGAAGAAAAACACCCCTCCTTTGGCTGCTGGTGGTGGGCAAGGAGAGGGGGGGGCAATTTAACATTTTTTTTCCCCTTTCCAAGTGAGCCTATTTAGTGCCTAACCACTACTGCTCCCTCTCACTTTACGCCCCCCAGGTGTGAACGAGTGAGAAACAAAATCCAGCCTCAGCCTTTAAAAAAACTAAAGCAGCGATTTCTCATCAGCCCCAGGTAGTTGGATCTGGAACTCTGCTGGGGATTGAACCCACAACCTAGGTTATGTGCTCTTACCAGGAATCGAACCCACCACGTTTTGGTGTATGGGGTGATGCTCCAACCAGCTGAGCCACACAGGCCAGGGCCCAAATATTTAAGAAATAGCTATCTGGCTAAAGGGCTCTATTAGAAGACTTGAAGGCAAAGAAAGAGCCCTAATTTGACCTAGGGACCGAGTTTGGGTTGGGGGGTGGGTAGTATGTGTGTAAAGAGATCTTTCACCTGGTTTAAACATTTCTGGTATCTGATTACTCACCTCCTATCTAGGTTAGTGATGTGCTTGTCTTATCTCCTCACCTAACCTGTAAGCTCTTCCACGAGAGGGACCCACTAGCTATCTGGTTAGTTTTCTAGTTCACAGTTGGTAGGCTGAAGGAATGAATGCAAAGAAGCATGGTATTCCTGAATGATCCGATACACAAACAGTTTGGGGTCCTGGTCAGCAGAAGTCTTCCTCCAGAGCAGAAAACCTGAAATGGGGAGGGGATGCTAACTGTTGGCTGCTCTCTGGATGGGTTTGGTGGTTATTCATTAGTTATTTCAATTCCATCTTTATAAAACAGATTTTGACTTTCAAGGAAGTTGGTAGAGAAGTACCTGGATTAGTTTGAGCGTATGGGTTTTCTTGGGTCCTTTTCTACCTGAGAAGACATGCTTACTACACAGTTGTCCCCAGTAAAGGCTGAACCACCATCCTAAGCAAAGCTTCCACCATGACAAATTTAGAACTTGTATTTGGTGACATTGCTACTTGCCCTGGATGTCATTTTCAGTGACTTTCCCCAGGGCAGATAGATTCTGGAACATTCTTAATCAAAGTATAACGCTGTCCTTCTGGGTTCAATTTGGGGGGTGGGGTAGAGGGAAAACCTCTACTCCTCCTTCCTGCGGGCATGAATAATAATTGCTTAATTACTATGTGTTGAGTCTTGGGAGGTCAAAGAAGGTGGTGGAGGAGGAAGAGGAAACTAAAGAATAGTACACAATTAATACAGGCTAATTTTAAATGATCTCAGCTTGGAGTTAATTTAATTTAGATAGGAATCCGAAATCCAAGTTAATGGCTTTTGTAAATGGCACAGGCGCAGGGTTACTAGCTTAAAATTCCAAGATTCTTCTGTGCTCCCAGTGGGAGGGCGGGGGCAGGGTGAGGAGTGAGCACCCCTTCTAATTGGGACTCACCCTGGACGGGTCCTCCTCTGAGTGCAGTCCCCTTGACACTCCACTTTCCTGAGGACAGAAGAGATGTGCACCGCAGTGTCTGGGAAGAGAAATCTAGGCGAACACTTCTGTCCACAGGCAGCTCCTTCTGCTGCTGGTCTCCCTCTGGCTGCCTTTGTACCGATGGGCTGATGAGCAGCGCCATCTGGTGGAGAACTCCAGGCAGGAGCTGCGGTCCTGGCTACTGTGTCTGAGCAGAAGTGATTGGGGATTCTGGACAGATCTTTCCTCATCCTCCCTAACAAGTAAACTGTCATAAACTGGAGAACCAGCTGGTTTGTTCTAGCCCCACCAAACCCTTCTATTTTCAGAAATGAAACTCAGGTCCAACCCTGAGAACACCACAGGACTGAGTCATTAAAATTAATTTCACCTGCTTTTTAATATTTTTTTAAAAATATATTCTTACTTACTGATTTCAGTGAGGAAGGGAGAAGGGTAGAAACATCAATGATGAGAGAGAACCCATTGATCAACTGCCTCCTGCATGCCCATCACTGGAGATTAAACCCAAAACACTGACCAGGCATCATCATAGGTCGATGCCTAGCCACTGAGCCATGCTGCTTTTTACTTTTAAATGTGGCTTTTCGAAAGTTTTAACATGTCTATGTGACTTGCATTACAGTGCATAGCGCTGGTTCTAGAGGCAGGCTAGTTGCAATCAGTCCAGCTGTACCCCTCAGTGATTTGGGCAAAGTGCTTAACTCCTCTGCCTTCATTGTATCAGCTGTTCAACGGGGGTCATAGTCATAATAAGGCCTATCTCACGGGCTTGGCATTGATGTTTCTCTCTCCCTCTCTGAAATCAATAAAAAGATTTAATTTAAAAAATAATAAAAATGAGAAAGGAGTGGTGTGACAAAAAGAGGGCTATGTTAGAGCTGGCAGGACCTCGTTAAGCAAATTGGGAAAGGAAGATTGGAGACCTGCCCTCCCCCATCGCTTTTATTTTATTTATTTATTTATTTTTAATTGTACAGAGTAATGTTTAATGTTCTCTTTTTTAAACTGATCAGCATTTTAAAGATATTAAATTTTAACAATATAAAGCTTTTTTTTCCTCCTCCCCCATCGCTTTTAAAATAATTTATCTGAATGAGTAACCCTAATTCTGGTTCTTGTTTATAGGATTTGACTGAAGGCACTGAATTGGGGGGCAGTGGGGAGAGAAGGGAGTCAGATCCTGTTTTATTTCCATCCCTGGAAGTGTGGGGTGGCAGGTCGGAGAGAGGAAAGATGGCTGCTGGAGGTGACTTTGGCAGACCCAGCAAGCTTGACTGGGGAAGATGGTTACCTCTACGGCCATTTCTCATACATGAAGAGGAAGGAAGGAACAGTGAATGTGGTGGGTGGGAGTCCTGGGGGTCGGGTGGGGTGATGTGTGGAATCTTGCAGCCTCTGGAACTCCAAGAATCTGACCATCAGAACCAACCAGTGTCAACTCTTTGTTTCCTGGGGCTGGGCTCTATTGGGGGAGCTCCAGGCTCACCCCTCCCCCCCAGCCTTTTCTTTCTTTTTTTTTCTTTCTTTTTCTTTTTTTTTTTTTTTTTTGAGGGGTTGGATGGGGAGAGAGGCGGCCCTGCTTTGTGTGTGGTTGGGGGCGGGGAGGGGGTGGTAGCAAGAATTTCTGGCTCCTTTCTGATGCAGGCCCTGAGAGGCTGGCTCAGAGGGGCAGCATGCCGATTACCTAGCTGATAAGAGAGGAATTCAAAGTATGCGTTTCAGGAAGGGGCAGAGGGGGCCAGGGGGCAGGGAGCCTCCCCTGGAGACCTCCAGTCCCAGACCGGTTGTGGGGAGGTGCCTGCAGGTTTTTTTTTGTTGCCGCTGTCCTGTTTTTAACTAAATGAAAGTCTTAACCAGACCACAGACAGTCAACTTCATATAGTCCCCACGTCCCCATTTATGTTATCTCCGTAAGCCTATGAGGCATAGATAAGGAGAGTCATCCTGTGTAAATTGAGCTCACAGGAGATAGTTTTCTGGATTTCCACTGCTAGTTAGTGATAAAAACGCCGAGTGAAAGTTCCCACTGTTACCCTACCCTGATCCAGTTTGAAGAGGTTGATAATAATTGCTACTCCTTGGAGATGTATGTGTTCATTCCTTCTCACGCATAGAACCTCACAGCACTACCATAAAATCGCTATTCACTTCTATTTTGTAGGTTAGAAAGGAGGAAACGGGGCCTCAGACTTGTTCTTAATCACGTATCTGCTGAATCACAGCCAGGCCCCGGGGGTGTATCAGCTTTGGAGAGGCTGGAGTTGCCTGCCCTTGGTTCAACTCCCCCAGCATCTCCTCGTTCACTCTGGCTTGTCTCAGCTCAACAAAAGACAAATCAAGGCTAACTTCACATTCAGGGCGTCACCGGGTAACGGTAGAGCCTTTTGGCAGATGCCGAGGGTCTGAGGCAGAGGGGGGAATGGCTGACCACGGTCACGCTGCCAGATATTGGTAGAAGCAGCATTTCCTGAACCAGGATGTGTCTGGGACCTAATCAATCAACACGTAAATCTCTACTGAGTAGCCTGTGCTCTTCACTTGCTTCTAAATTGCTTCGATGGAAGTTTCTCCTTAAGCAATTCCATGTGGATGAAAACAAAAATGTAAGCAACTGATGAGCTGGGGATCCCATCGGGCACCGAGACCCCCTCCACCAACAGCATAAAACACTGCTCTCGCTGATCCTGCTCCCTCCAGCCGCAGGGCAAGGGCCACGGTGGTCCCCTTTGCTTCTCTGAGCCTTGTTTTCTCTGATGATGACACCTTGCTGATATTTGTCCATGTAAATGGAAGAAGCTGGAATGGAGTCTGTTCTGGGTAGGGCCTGGGAGGGACTGTCCCCTCCAGCAATGCATTGTTGTTAAGCAGGAAGTGGCGAGGTGGAATGGCCCTGAGCTTCAAATCGGGAGCCCTAGGTTCTTCTTCTTTTTAAAAAAATATATTTTATTGATTTTTTACAGAGGGTAAGGGAGAGGGATAGAGAGCTAGAAACATTGATGAGAGAGAAACATCGACCAGCTGCCTCCTGCACACTCCCTACTGGGGATGTGCCCACAACCAACGTACATGCCCCTGACTGGAATAGAACCTGGGACCCTTCAGTCCGCAGGCCGACGCTCTACCGCTGAGCCAAACCGGTTTGGGCATGCCCTAGGTTCTTCTGACACCAGGCTTTGCCACAAGCTAGCTGTGCAAGTAACTCCCACGGCTATCAACCATCCAGGCAGCCACGGCCACAAGAATGCAGTATTTTAATGGGATTGCTCCATACGTTATTCTAAATAGTTTTTTCTTTTAAAAATATTTGTTCATTTTTCCACGTCAGATAATTAAAATATACTCCTTTTTCATGAATCCAAAAATGGGTGAGCCATTATTTATGTACAAAATGCAGCAGTGAACAAAACAGGGACTTGACATTCTTTTAAATGGTTGCATGGTTGGTTTTTATTTTTTTAACTTTTTGTTTTGTTAATCCTCACCTGAGGATAATTTTTCCATTGATTTTTTTTTTTTTTTTTTTTTAAATTGAGAGGCAGCCAAAAGAGAAGGAAGGGAGGGAGAGGAAGTAAAGAAGGAAGGAAGGGAGAAACATTTGGTTGCCTCCTACACCAGGGCTGGGGATCAGACCTGTAGCCCAGGTGCTCACCCTTGACCTTGACCTGGAATCAAGCCCACCACTCTTCAAGAACTGATGTTCTAACCACTAGCACACCCATCAGGGTGTTGTGTTTTTCAAACCAATTAGATTGTCATGCTGTCTTTCAAATTACCTAGTTATATTCTGTTCTGTGGTACTTTTTTCTTTCTGATTAATAGTAGCTTTTTATAGTTTTATTAATCTAATTATTTGTCTTGATTTTATAGTTTTGGTCCTTTTTTTATAATTTGATATTTAAGTTCTGGAATGTATTTTGCATGCATATGATATAAGGTGCAGAATTCTGGCTTCATTTCCAACTAGAGAGCTAATGTTCTCTAGTATTATTGAATTGTTTTCCTCATCTATTGATTTCTCCACATATGCTTGTTTCTCCTAGTGATCTTTCCCTTATAATCTTCTGACTCATCTGTTTGGGTCATACTGTCTTTTTCTTTCAACTTTTAGTTATTTGATATAATTTCAAAGTTGGAAAGAGGTTGCAAGAATACTAAAAATTTCCATGTACGCTTTATTTTATGATTTTTATACTTGTTGACTTCTTTTTTTTTTTTTAATATATTTTATTGATTTTTTACAGAGAGGAAGGGAGAGAGATAGAGAGCCAGAAACATCGACCAGCCGCCTCCTGTACACCCCCCACTGGGGATGTGCCTGCAACCAACGTACATGCCCTTGACCGGAATCGAACCCGGGACTCTTCAGTCCACAGGCCGAGCTCTACCACTGAGCCAAACCGGTTTCGGCTATACTTGTTGACTTCTTAAATGCTATCTTTAAATTATTCCCTCCTATTTTACTTAGAAATTTAAATAAGAATAGCTGTATAAAATGTAATGTTTATATAACAGTTGTTCTTGGTTAATGTTATGTAGATTTCTTGTTCAACATTAAAGTCTACCATGTTCCCCTCCCGCAGAGTAAACTGCACATGGAGGGCTTCCGGAGCCTGAAGGAGGGCGAGGCGGTGGAGTTCACCTTTAAAAAGTCGGCCAAGGGCCTGGAATCCATCCGAGTCACCGGCCCCGGTGGGGTGTTCTGTATTGGGAGTGAGAGGCGGCCCAAAGGGAAGAACATGCAGAAGCGCAGATCGAAAGGAGACAGGTATGGATTGGACGGTGGTTTGTGTGGGCATGCTGGGGATGGGGAGCGCTCTCTCCGTCTTGTCTCATTACTTGGACCAGGTTGCCATTGACCCATGAACCAGGAGGTCACTGTTCGGCCCAGTTAGGGCACATGCCTGAGTTTTGAGCTCAATCCCTAGTAGGGGGTATGCAGAATCTCCAGAATCTCCAGCTTTTGAAAAGTGGCCTGGATATAGGGCAGGTGTTTTCCTTTTAAAGGAGGATATGTAATAAGCTGATCCATGATTCTCTTATCACCGGTGTTTCTATGTCTTTCTCCCTTTCCCTTACTCTCTGAAATCAATAAAAATATACTTTAAAAAAATAAAGCAAAATGAAGCCTATGGTCCCTGGCAACGTCTATGTGGTTGGGTACCTGCTATGGGTGTGGAAAATGAGAAGAGGGCAGTATGTGAGGAGGGCGTTTGAAAGTAATTTTGCTCTGGGAGCTCTATTCTCAATTCCTAAATGGGAAGAGTGATGTTAACCTCACATGATTGTTTTAGAACTAAAGAAGAATGAAATGAAAGTGTAAGTTGTGGGAACAAGACTGTGTGTCTGTACTTGTTGCTCCTTCACCGGGTCTCCATATGACGTCTCGTTCATCTTAGCTTTGTGCTCAAACAGATCTTATAATCTGACTCCTTAGTGTTTTTTTTTTAAGGGTATGTTAGAGTCTTACCTATCCCCCAAATTGCAGTGCTCCGTTCGGGTCTGTGGTTTCTCTTCTTGGTATTTCAGTATTTTCTAGATGACATGAATTTGAAGATCATCCAGACAATTGCAGGTTTGGAAAGGATTTCAAGATATCTAGTCAGCCCTAGCTGGTTTGGCTCGATGGGTAGAGCGTTGGCCTGCAGATCCATATCCCTGCCCTGCTCCCCAGGTTCAATTCCAGTTAAGGGCATGGACCTCAGTTGCAGGCTCCTCCCCGGCCCTGGTCTGGGCGCATCAGGAAGCAACCAAATAGATGTGTTTCTTTTATATCAATATTTCTCTCTGTCCCTCTCTTTTCCACTCTGTAAAAATCAATGGGAAAATAGCCTTGTTGAGGATTTAAAAAAAAAAAAAAAAAAAAAAAAGGCTTCTGGTCAGATTTCTCCTTTGATGCGTGGAGAAATTGGTTTCCAGGAAGGGAAGAGCTAAGTGTCCTCACTCAGAGAAAGGCTTCTGAGCTCTTCTCACTCCTTTCTCAACTTTACCATCCTGCTTTTTACCAGGTGCTACAACTGTGGAGGTCTAGACCATCATGCCAAGGAGTGCAAGCTCCCGCCCCAGCCCAAGAAGTGCCATTTCTGCCAAAGCATCAGCCATATGGTGGCCTCCTGTCCACTGAAGGCCCAGCAGGCCCCCAGCTCACAGGGAAAGCCAGCCTACTTCCAGGATGAAGAAGAAGAGATCCATAGCCCGGCCCTGCTCCCAGAATCCCAGAATTGAGTCCGAGTGGGTGCCGGGGGCTATGCCTTTGTGATCAGAAAGGTTCAAGGAGCAGGCATCAATCGGCAGATCGGAGAAAGTGGGGACAGGGTGGGTAGGGGGCAGCAGGCACTGCCACGTATCTCTGGCCGGGTTCCACAGCATCACCCCCTCTTCCCTCTTGGCAGGGGGGGAGGGGTGAGGCAAAGGAACTCCAACTATACTTGATCCAAATGCGAGGGGGTTATCTGAGTCTCCACCCCAGAATCTCCAGCTTTTGAAAAGTGGCCTGGATACAGGGCAGTTGTTTTCCTTTTAAAGGAGGATCTGTAATCAGGATATTTCCCCTGCCAAAGTGAAAAGATGAACATGAGGCCAGAACCCAGACCACAAACAACTGCATTCTGTGGGAGGGAATCTCTCAGGGGTACGGCAGGGTTTTCCCACATCTTGTCCCCTTGTAACCCACTCTTGGGATCGGGTGCTGAAAATTGCCCCAAGCAAAGGGTTGTGACGATAGGCAAAAGGGATGCTCACTCCCACCCTATTTCTGGACCAATACAGTTTTATTTATTTGGTCCCTTGGGTAATGGCACCCTGGGCCCCACTTTCTCCAGGAGGCAGCTGCACTAGCTGTGTGCGAACGACGTATCTTGTGCATTTAGACTTTCTTTTTTTCTTTTTCGTAATATAAATATTCTGGGTTTGTATTTTTGTGTATTTTAATCTACAGCCCTCCTTCCTGCACTGTGTTCTCAGGTACATGAGCAATCTCAGGGATAAGTGGGCGGGAGCTCCGGGTCTGCACAGCAGGAATACTTTGTTTTCGCATCAGGGAGAACACCTATTTGGAGTGTATAGTCTATGGAACTACCTCATTTTTAACAATTAGAGCCGGATTTTCTGCCATAGTATCCTCTTGAAACCCCTCCACCTTCAATGTTTTGTGGATGGCTAGAATTTAATGGGGTAGCCCCATTCCTTGATCTACTAGAAGACTGGAAATTGGTCTGAACGGGAATCAGTGGTTGGTGCAAAGGTTAGGAGAGGCTGGGCTAGGTGAAAGGCACAGAGGGGAAGCCAAGGTGAGATGCAGGATGTCTATTTATGTGTAACCTGTTTTATACCTGCAATCCCAGGGGTTTGGGACTCACATTACATACCAAATCCATCCCTACCTGGATTGGGCTAGGGCCTACCAGGCACAACAAGGTGTATGTATGTATTGATAAAGAGCTTTTAAGAACACTACCTCTCTATCCATCTTGAGCTGCCCAGGGATGGATATATAAAGCAATGACTACATTCCTTAACCATTAAAAACTGCTTTTTCCTCTTTGACTTCCAGAGACAACATAAGCAATGGCTACTTTGTGGTGCTCAGAGCCAGTGTCCTTCCCGGCTGCAGCAATGATTAGTGTCTTAGTAGCTAAAGGAGAAAAGCTGGTTTCGTGAACATGCTGTGAGATCGCTGAAATCCTACCTCACTGTTGAAACGGGGCAAATGCAATAGAATGCATTGGGTGATCCTGGGTTCTTGTCAGCCCCCCTCCCCCAATTGCTGCCCCCTCTAGTTATTGTGTTTGTCTGGACTCTGTAGGACTTCACAGTAGCTGATTTGGTGATTGCTAGGTGGCCTAGTCTGTGTAAGTGTGTTGGTCTTTCTCCATGTTCTTTTGGGGTTTATTGTTTACAACCTTTTTTGTATTGAGAAAAATAGCCAAAGCATCTTTGACAAAAGGTTCTGCACCAGGCAAAAAGGATTGAAACATAACCTTGGGAACACCTCTTCTTGAAGTGGGGGTCTTGAACCATCCTTTCTTTTGCTTTCTCTTCCGCTATTTCCTATTTTGGACCAGATCTTCTGTCCTTAAAATTTGACTCTGGCCCTCTTCTATCCGCACCCCAAAAAGCCCATCTTCCCACATGCATACACATTTAATGTGTGGGCTGTCACCCCATCTCTTAAATGATTTGTGCAAAAATCCTGAAGAAGTTAAGAACGCTCCATCCCTTCTTCCCAATATCCTGACTAAAGACCATCCTTTGATATGTGATTCATGCCAAACATTCAGATTGCCGTTTTAATTTCTAATCCTACTGTAGAGAGCAGCAATGATGGCGCCTTTCATTTTGAAAATGGGGTTGGGAAACCAAGAAAGGGGAGATGAATGTATATCCAATTTGCTCAGGAACTTTTATGCTGGTGCGAAAAAAAAATACTTATGTCAAAGTAGCCACAAGATTGTTTAATAGGAGACGGACGAATGTAACTCCCATGTTTACTGCTAGAAACCAAAGCTTTGTGTGAAATCTTGAATTTATGGGTGGGAGGGAGGGAGGGAGGGTAGGAAAGCATGTACCTGTCTGTTCTTTCCCTGATTCCTTCCCATTTCTAAACTGCAGAGGACTGAGCCCCCTTGGGCTTTGGTGACCTCCATCACCGGGGGTTGTTTAGTTGATGGTTGATTTTGCTGTGCCGGGTACTTCCCCTTGCTATCATTTTGTAAAACACATGCTGACTTTTCCCCTTCCCCTCTTTTCCCTGGGAAAATAAAATGAATGAATAAAGACTTATTCCTACTGAAACTGTCATCTCCTTGTTAAGATTTTTAAGGTGCTTTTCTCCTCCCATAATTCTCACCTCCTTGGGTTGGGACTCAGAAGGCGGAGAAGAACCATTAAGTTTCCGTTCAGTCATTTTGATTTGATAGGAATGAATCTTGAAAGTTCAGTCTTCTTAGCACCTCATTACAGTGGATTTCTGTAGGCCTCTTGTCCTTCCCTTGGAAATGGCCACATTCAAGAGGGGATTAGGAGCATAGCATGCATAAGAATGGGTTTGTCTCTGCCACTGGCTGGGATGAAAGGCTGGGGCCATGCCTTGGGGCATGAGACCCTAATAATACCTTGTCCCTTGCTCTTCAAATCCCTTTACAAATCTTAATTAATTAACCCCCTGAAGCACCCTGTGGAACTGGGGAAATTGAGGCTATAAGAAAATACCTTAACATTTTATTTGAGCCCAAGTTTGCTAGCTTGCTAATGAACAATGCTTTTTAAACATCTAGCCTTCCCCTAACGGAAAGAATTTAAAAAGGAAAAAAAAAATATTTTCCTTTAAAAAGGACAAAAAAAAAAAAAAGGCATACCAGCTATTCCTGAAATTGACAGAAACAGGAGAACAAGGATAAGTTTTATACATCCACTCCAGATACCTTGTACCCACAGTCTTATTTTTTGTTAATTCTCACGAGGATATTTTTGCCATTGATTTCTAGAGAGTGGAAGGGAGGGGAAGAGACAGAAACCTCAATGGGTTGCCTCCACACCCACTCCTATGGGAGCTGGGGAACCTGCAACCAATGTATATGCCCTTTAAGGGGGGCGGGGGGGCGGGCAATAGAACCTGTGACCCTTTGGTCTGTGGGTTCTGTTGAAAAAATCGGCCAGGGCTGTACCAAAGTCTTAAAGCAGGCTGTTGAAGCCAGTTGGCGGTGGTCGGCAAACTCGGTCAACAGAGCCAAAGATCAACAGTACAACAATTGAAATTTTTTAAAAAATATATATTTTATTGATTTTTTACAGAGTGAAGGAGAGGGATAGAGAATTAGAAACATCGATGAGAAAACCATCGATCAGCTGCCTCTTGCACACCCCCTACTGGGGATATGCCCGCAACCAAGGCACATGCCCTTGGCCGGAATCGAACCTGGAACCTTTCAGTCCGCAGGCCAACGCCCTATCTACTGAGCCAAACCGGTTTTGGCTGAAATTTCTTTTGAGAGCCAAATTTTTTCAACTTAAACTACATAGGTACGTACATTGTTAACTTAATTAAGGTACTCCTAAGCTGGCCTTTGCTAAAATCTCAAGGGGCCAAAGAGCCACATGTGCCTCACGACCCACAGTTTGCCGACCACTGAGCTAGGCTGAAGCAAAGCAGAAAGAATGGAAAATACGCTATTGCCCTAGCCAGTGTGGCTCAGGCTCAATGGATAGAGCATTGGCCTGCGGGTCCTCGGTTCAATTCAGTTTAAGAGCACACCTTGGTTGCAGGCTCCTCCCAGGCTGGACCCTAGTCCATGCAGGAGGCAACCAATAGATATGTTTCTCTCCTATCCATGTTTCACTCTTTCCACTTTGGAGAAATATCCTCGGGTGAGAATTAACAACTTAAAATACTGTTCATGAGTGGATTTCTCATCAGGAGAACCTGGTAAAAGTAATTGGTCAGAAAGTGGAAGGCACAGTGAAGTGGGGGTTACTAGTGCCATATTTCTTGCCTTGATTCCTTGGTGAGAGAAACTATAAAAAGGTTCTTTGAAAATTGTAAAGGTTTCTTTTTGCTGCTTTTTTTTTTCATTTTGAGAGAATTGAACTCCCAATTTCTTTGTCAGTGCCTCAAATTACTGCAACAGTTTCCTGGGAAGATTTGGTACAGAGCTAATGCCCTTGATTTTTCTATTAGGGTCAACGGATGGCCTTCCTGTTTAATAGTAGTGCCCTTAAAACAGAGCTCTTTCTGGCTTCAAAACTGGTTTCCTGCCGGGACCGGTTTGGCTCAATGGATAGAGCGTCGGCTTGGGGACTGAAGGGTCCCGGGTTCGATTCCGGTCAAGGGCATGTACCTTGGTTGCGGGCATATCCCCAGTGGGGGGTGTGCAAGAGGCAGCTGATCGATGACTCTCTCTCATCGATGTTTCTAACTCTCTATCTCTCTCCCTTCCTCTCTGTATAAAATCAATAAAATATATTAAAAAAAAAAACAAAAAAAAAAAACTGGTTTCCTTAGTGTAGGTCCTGAGAGTCTGCACATCCTGAAAACTGAGTGCCCGACATCAGCACAAATGGATTGGTATACAGTGCGTCTGCGCGCTTGCCTAGGGCTGCGAACTTCCCAAACGATGAAATCCACCTAGACTTGTACGAGGGGCTCTGCCGCCCAGTCCTGCGGCCTCCTGAGGCCTTCCGCCAGGACGCTGCTTTACACCGTTTCCCAGCAGGCCCGAATACCACCAGCAGCTGAGAAACCCTCCATTCTGGCTGTGGAGCGTAGCCCCCTGGCGGCCTACCGATGTACAGCTAACG